ACTTAGAACGTTTCTTTTCTTCCAGCCTCTGTGAAGGGTGAGATCGCGGGTGAGTTGGCTGCGTCTTCGGGGGTTTCGACTCCTGGGTCTGCGAGCTCAGCCGCCGACTCCACAGGTCACGATATCATTACCGAACAGCCCCGGTCACAGCACACTCTGCAGTCGGACTCTGTGGACCTGGCCAGCTGTGACCTGGCGAGTGCTGCCACCGAGGGGGATGAGGAGGACATCCTGAGCCACAGCTCCAGCCAGATCAGCACTGTCCCGTCTGACCCTGCAATGGACTTGAATGATGGGACCCAGGCCTCCTCCCCCATCAGCGATAGCTCCCAGACCACAACCGAAGGGCCTGACTCAGCCGTGACCCCATCGGACAGTTCTGAAATTGTAAGTGTGCAGGGTGTCATGGTCTTCTAGGGGGCCTGTCCTATTTCTGTGCTCTTCCCTGAGGGCCCACACTTGGACCCTCCTACTTGTTTCGACTTTCCTCCAATCTTAGACCCCAATCACAGCAGTGCCAAGGTTGCCAGCTGAGCACTTTCATGACGAGCTTAACCCTGTTGGGTGCCTTCATTGGAGGCAACAGGTCCGTTCCATTTGTACTGACCCTGGGAGTGAAAATGGGATGAGTTGACTGTATGAACTCAGCCAAACCATAACACCTGGCGGATGTTTTCAAACTGAGTGGATCCAGGTCAGACAATTATATACAAAGTCCTTACAGATGTATTACTAATAGACCTATGGTCTTAATAAAATGTGATTAATTACATTGTTGTTGTTGGATATCATCAAGTTGATTCCAACTCCTGTATGACGTGTGACAGAGTAGAGCTGTCCCATAGGGTTGTCTGGGCTATGATCTTTTCATTTATTTATTTCATTGTGATTTGGATGAAAGTTTACAGAACAAATTCACTTTCCTTACAGCCCCTCAGGTAGACTTTGTCTCATGACATTGACTGCAATTTCCCACAGTGCAGCAGCTTTCTTTCCACTTCCTCCCCATGGTTACCTCTTCCCTGCATCCTTCTCTCCATGCATTCCTGCCCCCTGAGCTGTCTCCCTGTGCATACACAGCCCTTCTCTTCTCCCATGATTGTTCTCTCCAAGGACTATATCTACCCAATGTAAATGTTCAGCTCATATGCCTGTCTTATGTTTGGCTGGAAGCCACAGGAGTGGGTTCAGTTCCAGACCTGAAGGGCAGCTAGGGGCCATAGACTCAATGGATCCATGAGGCTCTGGTTTGATACCAGCAAACCTCGTTCCTTTTTTTTTTTCCCAAATGATTTTGAGTTTTGTTCCACATTGTTCTCCCACTCTATCCAGGATCTCCTGCACCGATCCCCCTCTGAGTGGTTGACAGTGGTAGCCGGGTGCCATCTCGTTTTTCTAGTCTCATAGTTGTATGGGCTGAGGATCGCATAGTGTACCAGTCCCTTGGACTAACTTTCCATGCATCTTTTCTTTTCTGTATTCTTCCTTGCTCTGGATGAGGAGAGACCCATCACTGCATCTAGGTGGCCGCTTGCTGGCTTTTAAGGTCCCGTTGACTGTGATCTTCATGGGAGCAGATCACCGAGTCTTCCTCCCATGGAGCCTTTGTGGGAGTTCAGTTCACAGCCAGGAACTGAAGGGTTGCACCACCAGGCTTTTAATAAGATTGCTACATTTTCACATAAAACACATAACAGACCTAGGAAACTAACTGCGAGGGTAGTGCACGGTTTGGGGGAAAAGGCACCATATATCACATAAAAATACAGTAAGACTGTATGTTATTTGAACACTTCTTTATTTTTCAAAAACTTTTACACAGTATTCCATTTTACCACAGCCTAGATTTAAGTGCCTTTCATCTCTGAGCTCATGGATAAGAAAACATCTCAAGGATGGTCTAGTCAGAAAGCTTGGTACAAGTACGCACTGGCTTTTACACCCAAATTTTAATTGAAGATATTTTGCTATAAAGTTCATCTGGTTGTTGTTGTTAAAAGCCACTGACTTGGTTCTAACTCATAGGGACCCTGTGTATGACAGAACAAAACTCTGCCCAGTCCTGCTCAGTCCTCACCATGCTTGAGCCCATCATCACAGCCACTGTGTCGTTCCATCTCATTGCCACTTTTTCACTGCCCCTCTTCTTTATCAAGCTTCACACCCTTCTCCAGGGATTAGTCCTTTCTGACAACACGACCAAAGTATGTGAGATCGAGTCTGGCCAAGTTCGCTTTTAAGGAGCATTCTGGCTGCACTTCCTCCAAGACAGATTAGTTTGTTCTTCTAGCAGTCCATATTGTTTTGTTGTTGTTAGGCACCGCCAAGTTGTCTCCGACTCATAGCGACCCTACGCACAGCAGAACGAAACACCGCCCAGTCCTGTGCCAGCTCCATGATTCTTGCTGGACTTGAGCCCATCGCCGCTGCCACTGTGTCAGTCCATCTCGTTGAGGGCCTTCCCCTCCTCCTTTGCCAACCCTCCACCTTACCAAGCATGACATCCTTCTCCAGGGAATGGTCCCTTCTGACCACATGAACAAGTAGGTGAGACAAAGTCTGGCCATTCTCGCTTCCAAGGAGCATTCCAGCTGCACTTCCTCCAGGACAGATCTGTTAGTTCTTTTAGCAGTCCATGGTACTTTCAGCATTCTTCGCCAGCACCACAACTCAAAAGCAATGACTCTTCTTTGGTCTTCTTTACTTATTGTCAGCTTTCACATGCATATGAGGCAATTGAAAATACCATGGCTTGTGTCAGCCACACATTAGTCCTCAAGGAGACATCTTCAATCTTCAGCACTTGAAAGAGGTCCTTTGCAGCCAACATGCCCAGTGCTACATGTTGTCTGATGTCTTGACTGCTGCTTCCATTGGCGTCAATTGTAGAACCAAGCAATGTGAAGTCTTTGACAACTTTAATCTCTTCTCCGTTTATCATGATGCTGCTATGGTTGCAGTTGTGGGGATTTTTGTTTTCTTTATATTGAGGTGTAATCCATACTGCAGACTGTATTCTTCAGTCTTCATCAGGAAGTGCCTCAAGTCATCCTCACTTTCAGCAAGCAAAGTTGTGTCGTTAGCGTATTGCAGGTTGTTAATGATTTTTCCTTCAGTGCTGATGCCACATTCTTCTTCATAGAGTCCAGCTTCTTGGATTATTTGCTCAGCATATAGATTGAATAAGTGTGGTGAAAGGACGCAACTCTGACGCACTCCCTTCTTGATTTTAAACCATGCAGTGTCCCCTTGTTCTGTTTGAACGATGGCCTCCAGGTCTGTGTACAGGTTCCTCATGAGTACAATTAAGTGTTCTGGAATTCCTGTTCTCTATGTAATCCACAATTTGTTATGATCCACACAATCAAATGTTTTTGCATAGTCAATAAACATAAGTAAACATCTTTCTGGTATTCTTTGCTTTGACCCAAGATCCATCTGACATCAGCAAAGATATCCCTCATTCTGCTTCCTCTTCTGAATCCAGCTTGCCTTTCTGGAAGTTCTCTGTCAGTATATTGCTGCAACTGTTTTTGAATTATCTTCAGTAAGATTTTACTTGCATGTGATATCAATGATGTTTGTAATTTCCACATTCTTTGGGATCACTTTTCTTTGGAATGGGTACAAATATGGATCTCTTCCAGTCATTTGGCCAGGTAACTGTCTTCCAAATCTCTTGGCATAGTCGAGCGAGTGCCTCCAGTGGGGCATCCATCTGTTGAAACATCTCAGTGGGTATTCCGTCAATTCCTGGAGCCTTGTTCTTCGCCAGCTCCTTCCGTGCAGCTTCAATTTCTTCCATCAGTACCGTTGGTACTGTTCGCAGTCCATGATATGCTCAGTATTCTTTGCCAGCACCACAATTCAGTATGCATCTATCCTTCTGAGGGCTTGTTTATTTGTTGTCTAGCTTTCACATGCATATGCGAACCCAAAAACCAAACCCACTGCTATCGAGTCTATTCGGAGTCATGATGATGATGATCCTATAAGACAGAGTAGAACTTCCCCAGAGTAAACCTGTCCATCTTCACAGAATTAGATTGCCTCATCTTTCTCCCACAGAGGGACTAGTGGGTTCAAACTGCTGACCTTCTGGTTAGCAGCTGAATGCCGTAATCGCTGTGCCATCAGAGCTCTTCACATGGATACGAGGTTATTGAAAATACCATGGCTTGGGTCAGGTGCACCTTCGTTTTCACTGTTCATCCAAAACCAAACCAAACTCACTGCCATCGAGCCAAATCCAACTCATAGCAATCCTTCCTTGGGTTTCCGAGGTGGTATCCCTATGGAATTACATTGCCCAACCTTCCTTCTGAGGAGTGGCTGGTGGGATTGAACCGCCAGCCTTCTGGTTAGCAAGTGCCTTGTTATTGTTGTTGTTAGGTGCCCTTGAGTTGTCTCTGACTGATAGCGACCCCATACATAGCAGGATGAAACGTTGCCCGGTCTTGTGCCGTCCCCACAGTCCTTGCTGGACCAGAGCCCATTGTTGTAGCTACTGTGTCTGTCCGTTTCATTGAGGTCGTTCCCTTTCTTTGTTGACCCTCCTCTTTACCAGGCATAAGGCTCTTGGTCATACATAAGCATCCTTAGCAGCTACTCTTTGTTGTTGTTACTGTCGTAAATCTACAGCTTTTGCCCCTTCAGCTTTTTGCAGGTGTGCAGCTTACTGACAGCACCTGTCAGAAAGGGCTGTGCAACCCTGCCCTGAATCAGTGCACTGTGTCCACCACTGTTAGCCCTTCCTGTCGCCCACTCTCCTGCCCCTGCTAGCCATTCTTATCTCCTCACTGATTTGGTGTTTATTGTCATGATGTCAGGTGCTGAAGAGTCGATTCTGACTCATAGCGACCCTACAACAGAAGAAAACACTGTCCAGTTCCATGTCAGCCTCACAGTCTTTGCTTGAGCGCATTGTTGCAGCCACTGTGTTGATCCATCTCGTTGAGGGTCTTTCCCTTTTTTGCTGACCTTCCACTTTACCAAGCATGATCTCCTGCTCCAAGGAGTGGTGCTTTCTGAAAACATGATCAAAGTAGGTGAGATGAAGTCTGGCCACTCTCAGTTCCAAGGAGCATTCTGGCTGCACTTCTTCCAGGCCAGATCTGTTCAGTCTTCTAGCAGTCCATGGTACTTGCAGTAAGTATTCTTACCCAACACCACAACTCGAAACTGTCAGCTCTTGTTCTGTCTTCCTTAGTCATTGTCCAGCTTCATCTCTCCTACTGGCTGAGTTGTGGTTCATCTTCCCACATCTTGTGTATCCATTCATCTTGTTGTATACCCATTCAACATGTTCATCCACCCATACACATGTTGTATATTCAGCACCTATGGAAGCAGCAGTCCAGAAAACAAGTGTTGTATTGCACTGGGCA